TACTGCTACTGCTAGTGCTAGTACTACTGCTGCTGCTGCTGCTGCTGCTACTACTACTACTACTACTACTACTAGTACTACTACTCGTGCTCCTACTGCTACGGCCACTGCTACTGCCACTGCATGGATCGTCTATGCATCCCGAGCAGTGTGCATAAAGGACAGCATATACCAACGTGTGTAAGTACTCCAGATTCTCAGGGGTGGAATACAGGCGGTTGGGGGCAGGAACCTTCGTGATGAGAAGATGCGGTTCTTGGCGCAAAACCGCTCGGTAGTGGCCGGTTTTTGGAGATCTGCCCTCATGCAGCAATGTTGCTGTGCATCGATACCTGGCGTATCGCACTACCATTGCATGCAGCTGAGCCAAATCTGAATCAAACATTGGACCATGATATAAGGGTCAACCTGTCCGCGAACAGTGGATTTATCAACCCTATCAGATCCTTGATTAAATCTATTGATTTGAATCAGCAAAACCCCAGGCACACCATGTGTGCCGTGAAGACTTGGCTGGCCGTTCCAGGCATGCAGCAAATGTTGGATCGAGGGCTCGCGGACGCGGGTTGTAGGGTGTGAAGCGGGGCAGGGAACACAAAGGGCCAACAGGAACCGCTATCAGTAACCCTTGTATTACCATTAACAGCCTGTCTGGCCTGCCAAGTGCTTTACTGAGGGACAGAGCTGCTCTCGCATATCAGTGCGATATTCCACTATGTCATGCTGTGTGTGGGCTGTGGCCAGTGCCGGCTCGCCACGAAACTCGAGTCCAGAGAGTCTGGAGACTGCGTGTTTTGCACACAATCCTGAAAGCTTCCAGCAGGTGGCGGCTCAGAAGCGGCTCATGAACTACTCCTGGGAGCATGTGTACTCTAGTCCACAGGATGGCACCACTGGCGGCACTACTGTAACAGTAGCTGTGTGGGTCGTCAGGGCGTATGGCTCCGACCGTTTGTTCATCATCTCCGGATGTGGACCGCGAGGCCCATGCGGCCCATTTTATCTCCCCGCATTGTGCCATGGCTACTGCTCGGCACACTCCTGCGTGAGCCAGTCTGGAACAGTGTTGCCAGCAGCGATCTGCTTCTTTCGCGCGAAGCCACATCGGAAGAATTTCTCTTTGCCTTGTTGTATTGCAAGTACGGAACTGTGCCGTCCGCATTGAGGATCATTGAGGATCACGATTGCTGCTGCCTGCTTCTTGGATTCCTCCGTTACCAAGCACGCATCCAAGCATTGCAGCCAAACCGTGGTGAACCTCTGCAGCAGCTTCGAGCGGAGTGTCAGGGTGAGGTTCTGAGGGTTCTCGGCTTTGGCTTTCTGCCAAACCGTTGTGGCCTTGTGCATGTTTGGCACCATCGACAACATCCCGTCTGGCAGAACAACACAAAGCCGCTCTCGATCCGGTTGATGTTGTGCTGATCCTCGTGCCTCAGCACAGGCTGTGCCATTGTGTAGCACAACTCCACCACCTCGGCAGTCTTGGAGGCGCCCGTCTCCTCCTGCTCTTGGTACGGCCACCAGCTGCCGGTTCCCCATCCACCTTTGGAGCGTCGGTTGCCCCAGCTGCCGGCCTGGTGGTCGCTTCGGGGAAACTTCGGTCCATGTGACCACTGGGGGCTGCTGTTTGGCTGCCCGGTCCCTGGCGTCTCCATGAGACGACTCATGAGTTTCGCCTGGTCCTTGGCACTCAACATTTCCTTCTGCTGTTCCTCGTTTCAGCTGGAAATCCATCGGAGAGGGATGGATCCTGCAGTGTTGCAATGTGAGGATGCCAGTCCGCACAAGCACAGTGCAATGTGATGTGTGCTTAGCCGCTAAGCCCTGCTAACGTGTTTGGCCTGGAAGGCCACTTGACACCACTTGCGCGGACTGTGCACCGTAGCTCGCCGATCTTCGAGCCACCTCTGCAAGCGGTCAAGGATGGGCTGGCATGCAACCTGCTGTGTTGCTATGTGTCTGGTTAGGTACTGAGGGCGGGCAAGCCATTGATGGCAGAATGGGCAGTGATGTATTTCATCATGCTGTCGGACATGCGCAGCCAATCGACACCAATCGCCTGTCTGCATGATTTCCCTACAGCAAGCATGAACTGAGGTCAGGAGCGTGGCAAGAGCTGTTCGGTGTGCTGGGCTCCCTTGTTTATGACTGACACTGACCGAGAGCTGTCGAGGAGCAGCGATGGGCTCCTGCTCTTGTGCTGGCACAGTTCGGTCAACAGTCAGTTGTCCAGCATGCAGAACACGGCACCGTAAATGCTCAAAATGCTGAAAGAAAGCAGGCCAGCTAGCGAACCGCCACTGACAGTGCTGGCATGTAGGAAGTTTGTCGGGTGGGCAGAGTCTCCAACCCTCACGTCAGTGGTCTGGAAAACTCTGTGAGTTCGACTAATGAAGAGCATGAGAAGTAACCGATAGAGAGGGCCTCTGCAGCTACTGGGTTTCAGATTACTCCGGGACTTGGGACCCGGCTGGCCCTGCTTTGGCGTCGTCTATGTTGTTGCAGCAGTTTCTGGACTTGACAGCCTACCAAGGCGCTCAGGAAAACTATGTACAGTCTGTACAGGCATTCACTGGCAGTCCGTAACGCACCGTTTGTTCGAGGACTTCCGTGGCGAGCGCGTCGTCTGTGTCTCTGCCTCCGAGCGCTGATCTCGAATCTCCAGCTCCTCCAAAGTCTCGATCTGCGTCGGTGCCAGGCTTGTTCATCTTCCGGATGAGGAAGCTGGTTCTGCGTGGTGCGCATCGTCGGTTGATGCTTTGTGCCTGAGGATCCACTGCTGCATCAGCAGACGCTTTGTCTTCCAAAACCAGTGGTCGGAGAAGGCGCAAAGAGCACGGGTAGAGGGAGTTGCTGGCCAGGTCGGTGGCTGTACTGGCCACCATGTTGGCCGAGAGGTGGCCCACCGTTTGTTGCAGTTTCTCGTAGATGGCGCGCTGCAGTTTCTGGAGTAGAAGATGCTGGCTGCCCAGGGGGGCCACGACCAGGTCCTGCATCCGATCCAAATCGTTCTCCGGAGTGTTCGCCTCCAGCATGATGCGGATCGCGCCAGCCGTGTGGTCCATGTCCTGTGGCCTCTCATTGGACAGGAATTCTGCAATGGTGGTTTGCAAACTCCTGGCGCTGGCGGTTGTGTGCCGGTGCTTGAACTCTCGTAGCTTCCAGGAAAGTCTTGTTGCAGCTGGTGTCGCAAGTGTAGCAAGCACAGTTGCCTAACCAGGTCTGCAAAGCTGTTGCGCTTGGCTTCAAAGATCTGTTCCTCAAGTTCGGGTTGCGGTGGCAGTTCGGGGCAGGTTGCACCCAGGGGCTATCATCACTGCTACCCAACAGATCAGCGCTATCTGGCTGAGAGTCCATCGTGCACTCCGACAGGTCATCATAGCTGTCACAGCCGTCACTGGATGCGTCAGGATGGCTCGCGGCATGTACCCCGGCTCGAGAGCCACAAGGAAGCAGGCTCCCGCTCCTGCTCCTGCTGCTGCTGCTCCTCCTGCTGCTGCTGCTTCTGCTGATGCAGCTTGCTGCTTGCAGCTGCTTGCTGCTTGCTGCCGCTACCGCTACTGCTGCTGCCACTGCTACTACTGCTACTACTCCTACTACTCCTACTACTCCTACTACTCCTACTCCTACTACTACTACTACTACTGCTGCTACTACTACTACTACTACCACCACTAGTACTAGTAGTACTAGTAGTACTAGTAGTACCAGTAGTACTAGTAGTACTAGTAGTACTACTAGTACTACTACTACTACTACTACTACTACTACTACTAGTACTACTACTACTACTACTACTACTACTACGACTACTACCGCTACTACTCCTCCTCCTCCTGCTCCTGCTCCTGCTGCTGCTGCTGCTGCTGCGGACGGTGGCATGGAAGCATGGAGAGCATCATGAGTTGCTAGGCATAGTTACGGCCCTTGCCCACGTGCGGCAGTGCGGCATGTCTAGCAGGTTCACGGAAGGTACAATTCGAAGTTTTGTGTGAATGATTTCTGCCCAAACCCTGATTACGAGACTCTGGGTGGGCGATATGTTAAAACTGCCTCGGCGTGTATCTGCATGTAGGAGTATTTAGCCAAAGTAAGCAGTTCCACGATGAGTGTTGCTGATTGAGTGTCAGTCGAATCAGTAGAAATTCGAGTAGCAATTTCCAGCAAGGAGTTGTTGCAGCCAGATGCCGATCACAGGAATAAGAGCAACTACAATGGTACCGCTTCTTCTCATCAGTATTCTTGGTATTGTACGAGTAACGACAGCAAACAACAACCACGATGAACCCAGCGCATTCGAACCAAGGATGGAGAGTCTCCAAGAAGTCAGCTTGTGCCCCAGCCTCTCGACTGGTCGGTGCACAGACCAGTCTGATCGGGGCATGGTTTAGGGTTCAGTTGAAGGCCTATGTTGCGTATTTTCAGGTGTTCTGGGTTGGTGGTTAGTCGGCGAGCACGCCTTTGAGGATCCTCATGCAAGGGGGACGCTGACCCCCGAAACCGGAGCTGTGAAGCTCTGGTTGCTAACTAAGCGCAATTGACAACATCTCCGTCTGCGATTGTCCCAAGTAAGGTCTGCAGGAACGCCCGCACTCGAGACGAACGCGTCATGGGGTCAGGCCGGATGCAGCAACCTGAGACATGCTGCTGACATGCTGCTGACATAGGATTATCCTAAATATGCCCTTAGCAGCAGCCGTAGTTTTGCACGGCTTTC